GTACCTAATAAGTAATAATGATTATAGCGTAACGCGTTTATTTCGTATAATATAATATATTATTCTATATCATATACTTCAGAAAGTATATTGAAAAATTTGTTAATGGTTTTTGAGCCGGAAAGGGCCGAAAAACATTTACCCATGTCACGAAAGATTCAATGTATAAAAATATCAATCATCGTCAGCATTCGGCATCTTTGTAAGTCAGTCTGCAAACAATACAATTAATAATATTATTAAAAAMACATTATTTCGTTAACTTTTGTACGCCTAATACACCTGTATTATACAGTATCGCGTAGATATTCACATTGCAAGTATCATTCCACGGTATAGGCACCTGTAACGATAACAACCTGTTCCAAAATGCCGTTAATCTAACCAATGGCTGTGACCTTTCTCTTTCGCGGAGGTAATGGATTTTTTTATTTTGCGATTGATTCCGTACTACACCCATTGTCACTTTTCGAAAGGTCATCTGTCCACCTTGAAACCGTTCGTAGATATCTCGTGTTGTAAGACGGTATTACCGCATATAGGATCATAATAATATTATTTACCTACGATATATTATGTAGGTACGTATAAAATACATGAAYGCACAATTATTTTTATTTTATCGATCAAAAAATTCATTGACCATATACAGCGTGACTATAAAATACAATTTAACCTAGAAAAACAGTAATCAATTGAATACGAAGATAATTTTACATATATAATACATTATGTGTTTGCATAATCTGTATTTCATGTGCGTAATATTTTAGTATTTGTACAATGAACTATATACCTAATTGTTGAAATCTTATTATGATTTCAGACGTTTGCCATCGTGCGCGTGTACCCGCTCGATTAATTTGAAATAATAAGTACTGCACAGTGTGGCAATAAAATACGTCAAAATTGTCTAAACAATTAAAAAATAATAAAATTGTATAGTAAAAATATTAGTAGACATATAAAGGTTAATAAGTTCATTTTTTTTCTATTGAATATTTGGTTTTTCTATTTTAAATAGCTACAGAGTGTTTTTTAATATCAACAATAAATTATTGTATTAAAGATATCTTATAATTATTATACTAAATTTTAGTTATTAATTCACTGTTATTCTCACTGCTATCAAACTMACAGATATTTCAATATATTATGTTTTTTTTTAAATTTAAGATTTTGTATAATATAATTTAGTTTTGTCGTATTATATTTCAAATAAATCAAAAAATTTAATTTCAAGACAATAACATGAAAGTTTAGTTACCATACTACTACCTAACAGTATTTAATTAAATATTCATGAAAACCTAATGTTTTGACCATTTGAACTGCTAAAATGACCTATCTGTAAAATTCAATTCAATAATAAGGTGTATATTACATGGTTATATCTATGAGAAAATACGCCAATTATTTTTAACTAGTAGAATTAAATTACCTGAACCATTGTTTGTTAGTTAATCGATATTCTAACTTTATATTTGTATTCGGAGGATGAAGCAATAATACTCAAGCGAATAAGTTTGTAAATTCAGGCATTTAACTCTACGGACATCAGGGTGACAGGGTGTGATCTTAAGCATTTTCTTAGAACCTTATGTGAATACGTTTATGAAAATAACAATATAATTGAACACAGCACTCAAAGAATATAAAAAACATATATGGATTAGCTTTGTTGAATACTAATTACAAACATTTTTAGACATCATAAAATGAATGACACAAAAGAAAACTATTATCAATGAAGCATAAAATCGCAATGATTGTCACGTGCCGCAATTTTTTTCGTTGTCTTCGTATTTCTTTACTCGTSAAGATTGTAAATTTAACTCTAATATTATAAGCCTTTTACGGTAGCCGGTCAATTAAATACAGGTTTCATTTTCAGCAGTACGTGTATTGAGTACTATATTGAATAATACACATCCAAAAAATAATTGCTCMGCACAAGTTCAAATAATTAAAATCAATAATTATTATATGTATGTCTAAAAACTTATAGTTAGTAGTTAATTTAAAGTAAAATTCAGGAATTTATATTGTAAATAAAACTTATTATGATTCCGCGAAAAATTATTTAATCTTTGACCTCTYGATGACTAATCTCTGAATTCTGTGGTATTGTTTTTTAAATTTTACTCCGGTTTGATTATAATATTATGAGGAATAATTATTATTTTATTTAAGTTTATATATTTAACAAGATTCTTGATCAATGTTTTTTGTTTTACTAGGTAAGTTCATTAGTTGATTATTATAAAGCCTATTTAATATAGGTATGTAAATACCTAATTATTAAAAATTACAATTCAATAATCTTATTTATTGCTTATTGATATTATATTGTATATTACTCTCCCTTTAAACAAATATAAAACGATAATTGTAATAAGATTGAAAATTCTAACTAAAAGTCATTKAGAAGTACCTATAATAGTAGATACGTCGATATAATTGTTTAAAGTAATTATTACAGTCAATCCTCCAGATACAGTGGTTAATATATACATAAAAAATAACATAGTTATTTGATCGTCAATCGATCGAAAAAATGTATTCGTTTTCCTTCATAACACCAGCAACAATTTACGATGTATAGTGGAAACTCGATAACTCGAACCTCTATTAGTCGAATTTTTGGTAACTAAAAGTAATGCCTTGGCCCTTGCCTTACAATATATGATAAGCGTGAACTTCCGTAAGTCGAATTTTTGATAACTT